TGTCTGGGGTGCGATGTGGTTGGCATCGCTCAGGAGCAGGCCCTGCGCGCTGTGGAGGTGGGTACTCAGGGCTGGCAGACACTGAAAAAATGCTGATCGAGTGAGTAGTCTGTAGGGAGCTGCCTAAGCACCTAACCATCCCTGCAGCTACACGTTTGTGCTTAATCTCATCTGTTCCTTGGCGCTTAATTCCATCGCTGGCAGCCTGGGTTACTGGGGAGAGCGCTCGTCTCTCGCACAGGCTGGTCTGTATGGCAAACCCGGGTCAGGGCCTGGCTGGAGGGGGTGGCGGGAGCACAGCTCGGAGCCCTGGCTTGCTCTGGCACATGCGGTGCTGGAAGGGGTGATGGCACTGTGGATAGGTGTATGTGTTTCAGTCCTGCTAGCTCAGCAAATAATGGCGGGGAAATTGAATGTGACAGGCTTCAAGCTGGTTGCACAAGAGCCTGGATGGCAAGAAACTATCCCGTGCTAAAGCCTGTGCCAACGTGCTTTCCCTGCAGCTCGTATCCAGCATTAAAGCTGTAACGGATTCACCTTCCCCAGGCTGCAGTCCCACCTCCCACCCTCCTTCTCCCAGGTCCAGAGGTGTCTCATGACAGCTGAGGGACAGAAACCTTGTCTTCGCAAAAAGCTTCCCCATCCTGTGCTCTTCCATGCCCATCCCACAAGTGAGCTGCGGCTCCTGTCATGTCCTCTCCTCTTCTCCCTCTGCTTGTGCAGAGTTGAGGAGAAATGTAAGGATAACGTGTGAAGACAGCGTGCCTTCTGAATGAAAGAGGTGAGAACCTACCATGGAAGGGTGCGTTACTGACAGTAAATGAGGTTCAATCTTGTAGCTGGAGCCAAGAGAAGACAATTTCCTTCCAAAATAATTTGACTGTAGGCAGGACTGTTGCAGAAAGGAGGCCAGAGCTTGAGGCAGAATAAAGGAGTTGGGAATACTAATAAGAAAAAGTCAGATTCTGAGACTAAAGTCATATTTATGGCCGGTGTAGATTTAGGTCCAGGGGGCAGAAATTTTGGCCAAGGACCTGATAGCAGGGAAGCGGGATTAAATATTAATGTGTTAATTAACCCTGTAATCCTTCCCTGAAACATTTGTCACAGCCCACATACCAAAACTGGGATGCTGCTCAAGAAAAAGAGGTCAGCTTCTTGAAAGGTGAACCAAGGCTGCTCGCAGAGGCACCTTCTGTCAGGCACGGGAAGGTGGAATCCCATTACTGTCTGCAAATTAAGCCTCTGGGGACCGGTTTCAAACAGAAAAGGAAGCCTGTGAGCTTTGCTGTCTGTGCCAAGAAAAGTAGCTGTTTGAGTAGATCTTTGAGGGTGGGGTGCTGGTGAGCCCGTGGCACAAAAGTGTTGCTCACCGCAATGGAGAAGTGTAGGAGGGAAGTGAAAGCTGTTGGGTTTCCAGCTGAGCCACCCTGTGCTTGAGGTAGCCGTGCTGTTGCCCACTTCACAGCTTTAAAATATTTGGATCCGGACAAAGGCAGTTAGGGTGTCACCTTAGAGCACAGGGAAATAAATCTCTGCAGATTGCTGCTACGGGGCTTTATCCATAGGGTTCCTGAGTTGTGGTACAATTGCTCCGGACAGATCTGGATCCCGTTGTGCTGGGCAAGATTTACTTAGGGAGACATGTGCATGCGCCTGACTTGGGGGTAAGGGGCTATGGTGATCGGTTACCTTTTTGAAGACTGCCTTTCTAAACCAGCTATCGCCCACTGTTTGTAATTTTCCTATGTAACAGAATGAAATCAGCCTGTCTCCAGCCCATTTCATCGCTGCTGCTCGGGCCCTGTAGGCAACGCAGCAGCTGACAGGAATCACGCAGCCTGCCTTCAGCTGCCACCGGAGAGTTATCCGCAGCCTGGGCAGGCGCTGGAGGCAGAGCGCTCCGGAAATGGAAGCCTACCTTTCTCAGTGGTAATAAATCTGCTACCAGGCAGGTGGATGTTGGAGCACAAACCAGCGTATAATAGACATCCTGCCTGGAGAAAAGGAAGAATCAGTGGTGAAAGGGTATTTCGGTGTATCCATGCAGCAGATACTCAAGTCACAACCCCCAGGTTTGCTCTGGCCACTGGTTCCTGCTAAGGGTCTGCAAGCTTGCAGGTGGCTTTTGACCCTGGTCCATTACCCTTTGCACTCTTCCAAATAATTTATATCTTCATATGGCTGGCAGTTGCCTGGGAATCTGTCCAAGCCCTCAAATGAAAGGCCAGGAGAGGGAATTGGTTTTCTATTTCTGGCTTTGCAACTTAACACCTGTCCAATCCATGGCAAGTCACTTGGGGCCAGATTCTTGAAGAGATGGATTAGTGTGGACTCCTCTTTTTGGGTCTTTCTCTTGGTGTCCAGCTGCAGCTTTAGGTGCCTCCAAACCTTAATTCCTTAGAGCTCCTTGCTCAGCAGCCACCTAACTGCAGGAGCATGAAGTCCATGGTACCTTCCACCTTTTATATGTGAAAAATTCCTTCTTGCTTTGCACGCTGGGATGCACCTTAGTTTTGATGCTGTTGAGTAATGTCTGCGACTGACCCACTGGGCATTAGATGTTCCTCTACCAACTTTGCCTACAAGATTCAATCCTGAACTTCAAAACGTGCTTCTTGGATTGCAATCCACACAAAACATAAGAGAAAATGATGTCATGTGCTCGCCTGTCCCTACCCCTTTTTTTTTTTTTTTTAATCCAGTAACTCTGTGCTTAAAGTGTTTGCCCAAGTAGGAGACCTGGAATTGCCCTCGTGCCTTCCAGGAGAGCATCCTCCCAGGGTGGGTGGAGTGGGACTCCCCTCCTGTGACTGGTTTGTTATAGAATCATAGAATCATTAAGGTTGGAAGAGACCTCCAAGATCATCGAGTCCAACCGTCAACCCAACACCACCATGCCTACTAAACCATGTCCCTAAGCGCCTCATCTACACGTCTTTTAAATACCTCCAGGGATGGGGACTCAACCACTTCCCTGGGCAGCCTCTTCCAATGTTTAACTACTCTT